GTATTCTAATTAGAAAAGTGACCGTACACGTTTAGAGGTGATACGAAGGAAGTGAAGATTCAAGAGCGCAAAATAATTTAGAACTAAAACATTACGCAAATTTGAATTATAAAACCCTTTTTAAATTCCTATTTTTTTTTAAAAATATGTAAAGAAAAATATATTAAAATACTAGCAAAATACCCGCGCTTCGCAGTGGAGAGCCTTATTAGGCCTATATGAAAAAACGGTACGAAATTATCAATTATCCGCATATTCTGGAGACTATCCAATGCATTTCCTTGCGAAAATCAATCCTGTAGGAGCTATCCTTGAGACCGCAATCCTGGTAAGACCCCAATCCTGGTAAGACCCCAATCCTGGTAAGACCTCAATCCTGGTAAGACCCCAATCCTGGTGAAACCCCAACTCTAATGAGTCCTCAATCCGTTTCTGAACCCGATCCCGGCGCAATTCCTTTTCCCAGTGTGATATCGTTCACGGTGGGATCCTATTTTCTTTTGGCTTCGGATCCATAGGGAATAGAGATCCCGTTGAGATCCCGATCCCCTCGCTTTCTTGATCCCAGTGGGCTACCGATCCCATTAGGATACCGTTTTCAGTGGGATCCCATTTCACCTAGGGACTCTCTTTTACGTTGTTATCCCTTTTCCTGATAGGATCCTGATCCCGGTTTGATCCGTTACACGATGGGATATCGATTGTATCCTATTCCCCGATGGGATTGGGTTACCGATGGGTCCCATCAGGATGTCGTTTCACTATAGGATCATGCTCAGTGTTATTTTGCTCGAGTACGCTTTTAGATCTATTTATTCATCCCCGTAGAACAATATAGAACATTCTAGAACATTCTAGATTAAATTTAATATCCTCCATAAAACGTGTAAATAATCACTTTTATACGTAATTATTTCTCGAATGCGAAATATAATACAACTAAATTGTACTACTACAAATAGAGTACATTTAAATTGATATAGGGGCCCCAGTGGGGGCCATTTTAATCAAGTACCATTTTAGTTATGTCTGAGATTGGGGGGGGGGGGCTATAAAAATCATTCCGATAAATTATAGATTTAAAATGTATCCTATTAAAATCGGTACAACAATACCATAGATATAGCTTTTTTTAAATATAAAAGATTCTAAAAAAATTATGGTTGAGAATGGGGGGGGGGGGGCTATAAAAATCATTCCGATAAATTATAGATTTAAAATGTATCCTATTGAAATCGGTACAACAATACCATAGATATAGCTTTTTTTAAATATCAAAGCTTCTATAAAAATCTAGATCAGCCCTAAATGGATTGGAACTTTATTAGTTTTAAATCCACCGATATTTTAATACGGACAGAGAAGGGTTGTGGTACAAGGCTAGGCCTAGATCTACCTATTCACATACAAACCTATAGTGTTGTCTAAGCCTATTGATGATTATATAACTTATATTAGGAACAATGAAATTGGTCCCCCGGCTCCAGAGGGATGTATATTATGAGTTCAGTACACCTCGATATTTGAATATGGATAATCATGTGTATGTGTGCTAAGTTTGGTCAATATCCATCTATCCATGTAGGAGTAATCATTGCTAGTAATATGTATATAGCTAATCAAAAGGAAAAAAAAATATTCGGGGCCCCCTGTTGTGATCATTCCGGGTAGAGTTTCGAAATAAAATTTCCTTAAATTTTGTAAGTAAGCTTTAAGGAATAAGCCTGCAAAATTTCAGACTTCTATCTACAGGGGAAGTTGGAGCAAATAGCTGATAAGAAAAAATTATATCAAATTAATGGATATTATAAGTTCAGTACTCTTCGGTATTTGAATATGGATATTCAAGAGTATGTGTACGAAGTTTGGTCAAGATCAATCAATTCATGTGGGAGTACTAAGCCTATTGATATTAATATAGCTCATATAAGGAAAAGTGAAATGGGGCCCCCCGCCCAGAGGGATGGATATTATGTGTTAAGTACCCTTCGGTATTTTAATATGGATAATCAAATGTATGTCTATTAAGTTTGGTCGAGATCCATCTATTCATGTAGCAGTATGTGTTTATCATTTTATTTATATAGACTAGCTCATTTAGAGAAAAATGACATTTGGGTCCCGGCCCCAAACGGCTTATAGTTTTGAAATGAAACCTGCTTAACTTTTGTAAGTAAGCTGTAAGAAATAGGCCTGCCAAATTTCAGGCTTCTATCTACAAGGGAAGTGGGAGAATCAGTGATGAGTCAGTGACTGAGGGCTTTCCCTTTTATTTGTAGATTTAATATCTTAGAAAACAAAATAACCAAGCCACTTAAACACACTCAATTTCAAACCGACATTTCCCTTAACTATTAGTCATTAAAAAAGGTTTTATTTTAAAAGAAATGACAATTAATCCTACGGTAATTTAAAATTTAAAAAAAAAAAAAAGAAAATATTCGAAAGGTATATCGTATACCCCACCATAATGGGCCCCGCTATTGTGCGCCCCGTTATTGTGCACCCCGCTATTGTGCGCCCCGTTATAACGCGCCCCGATATGATAACCCGCTAGAACGTGTTTCGATTGTATGGGCGCAATTATCACGCTATAGTGTAAGGTCTATTTCAAAACATATCAATAGTTTCTACACATGTTTCTACACATCACTCACATCATTAGTATGCCACTTAAAACTATTATGTTTCTGTGTTATCGCAGGCGAGGTGCTTACATCGAGGGAAGTGTAAGATAATGCTAAAGCCTTCTGTTGGTTTTACATGCCCAACAATGTTTATACCGTAAATGGGTGACAAATGAGAGGTCAACTCAGCGCGCGATGTGTTTACTGATAAGGTGGACTACACAGGCGATCGTTGTGTCACTGTTTAGGTCATTCAAGTCTCAAAGTAACTATATAATTTTTTTTTCTCATAACAATTGTGGCTTTATTATTTAATTAACTAATTATTAACCTTAAAAGAGACTTTTACTCGTAAAAGATAACAAGATGCCTGTGAAATTTATTGAACAGAGTTTAAAGGGAACAAGTGAACAACCGAAAATAAATAATTTTGGATTTTACCAAAGGAATATTTCCTTTCCATTGACCTGTCAAGAAATCTGTAAGTTGTATTTATTTAGTTTTTTCTTTTAATTTACTCTCCACAGTAATAACATTACAACTAAACAAAAGAAATTCCTTAATAATTTTGAAAAAAATAAAACTTGAAAATGCACAAGAAAATCTCATTGTTTAAAGAGGAACTTTAAGCTATTCAATGGACGAGAAAGAATTTTAAAATGGCCTTGCCATATGTTTACACTTCGACACCTATTATATTTTTATTCTCTACTTTGCTAACCTGTTAACCATTTGAAATGATCTTAAAATACTTCTTTCATTTTAAAACTGATAGATGGAAAATATTTTATATGATAAACCAACATATTTTTTATGGTAGTGTGGAAAGTTCGGACCTGGGTGCGACAGGGGTTGGGGGTACCGACCACCTGATCAAAGGGCCTGTCAGATCTCACAGCAGGGTTACCGACCATCTGACCAACGGTCTAGCGTATCACATTTCCCTGGGATGACCTCGCGGGGGAAGGACCATTTCGACGGTTGGCAAATTTAAGTATGTGAGATTTGGGAGTAAGATTACAGACCTGGGAAGGAATCTCTATGGGCTCAGGACTTACAAATAGGGACCGTTGCACAGGAGTGGACAGAATTCAGCTGTACAGAGAAGCGGACAGTCAGGGAGAGGTCCAATTGGTAGGAGTAGAGGACTGTCAGAGTTGAGTGCTTATTGGAGCGAAGGTATTAGCAAGTAGCAGAATTGCAAGAGTTAGATTGTAGAGCAGAGCAAATAAACTGAAAGGCTACCAGTCAACTTGTTGTTACCTGAGTGTTGGAGTAAGAGAGAGAGTGAACGAGGTTACCATCCACATAAAGTAGATAGAGGAACGAGGCGTGACACCCGGTTTCCGTACAGTATAAAAATATTTTTTTTCTTTTTCAGTTTTAAGATGATTTGTAAGTAAATTAATCGTGGTTTTAATTTCCAACAATAAACAAACGTTTGAAGAAATGTTTATTAAATACAAAGAAGTGGCATCGTAAAGCCAGGGCAGGGGGGGGGGGCTGCAGGCTAATCCAGGCGGCTTTCTTTCGCATTCCAAGTGCAGAGCTTTTTCGTGCTAGAAGAGTGGCAAAACTATTCGCCCTACCTTAGCAACGTACTTGATATTGAGATCCAAAAGTATTTTATTTTGTTGTAGGTTTTCCCAAAGCACCATTTGTTAATTATGATAAACTAATGTGAAGAAAAGAATATCTGATGAAATTTTAGTATAGGCCTAATTAATATAGATCTATTTGGAAAATACAAAAGAGAAGAAATATGTAAATAACACCAATAGACTTCATCGCATTTCTTATTCAGTTGGTACTATATCCACACAAAAAATAAAGAGTGGCGAAACCAATATACTAAAAAAAATCGATAGACTTGATATTTAGAGAAATCAATATTTTTACCAATTGTGAAATGTTCTGTTAACGGGTTTTATACTAGGATTAGTGAGACGCACACATTTCGTTTAAGTTACACATATTATTTGTATCTCATTAATCTACTTAAAATTTAAAAAGAAACCAACTTTATCGCAGTCCAACCCTTTTATCATTTATTAATTTATTACACCAGTTAAATACAGGTTTTTAATAAAGTCCAATGGATATTTATTGAAAAATAAAAGAAAACCTTTAAAAAATCAATTTACGACGACCATGTCATATGCCACAGATCTAAAGGACGAGACAGCACATTGTTTGAGAACACCTGGAATAATGAATAATACATGTTGGACATGAGAAAACAAGGAAATTAATCAAATTTGATCGCACTTCGCTTTCTCGTGATTTATTTTTATTTAACTATTTTCTTCTAACATCCTCAGATTAATTTAGAATCAAAAAGATAGAAACACCAGCATGTTGACAAAACCAGAAATAGCATGTGCCATCATTGAAGGAATATCATCCATGAGAGAAGATGAAGAGCTCCAGGATTTCGTTGTTGAAGTTGAAGGCAAAGAATTTAAATGTCATCGTCTGATACTCAGCGCGTGTTCTGGATTTTTCCGTGGTCTTCTCAGGTCTGGGATGAAAGAGTCGCAGAAACGAAGAACAAGGCTTCATGGCGTCTCCATGGAAACGTTCACATGCATTTTAGAAACTCTCTACACCGGAATGGACAATCTGACACGTGACAACATAAGAAGTGTCTGGTTGGCTGCAGATCAATTTGAAATAACAGCTGTCTTTGATAATTGTGTAAATTTCATAAGAACAAATATTTGCAATGCAACTGTCTTTTCTTATTGGATAGTAGCATCTCGACTGATGCACCACAATACCATAGAACTTTGCGAGTCGTTTCTCAGAAACAACACAACTCTAGAAAACTGGGAAGTTATGTATTCTACTGCACACAACTTGGGATCAAAATTGATTTTGTCACATGTACGAGATTTTATCAAGAAAAATTATGAACACGTCATGAAATCCAATGCCTTTCTGTCTCTTGGTGAAAACGATTTAATTGAAATAATAAGAAGTCAAGATCTGGTTGTGTCGACGGAAGATTTTGTCATTGAGTCTATTCTAAATTGGGTCAAAAATGGGAATCCAAGTAGATCTGAGATGACGGCTGTAGATATAATTGATGATGGAAGCAGAGTTTCAGACGGAGATGAACAAAGCAGACAGACAAAAGATAACCTGCGCCAATTACATGACCAAAATAAAATTGTTGAACACACAGGGAAAAACGCAACAATTTCATTAGCAAATTTAAACAAAAATCGCTTGAGATGTCTTGAACGTTTCCTTTCAGAAACAAGACTGTGTCTTGTTAGTTCTATAACTCTGGAAAAATTATCACGTGATAATCTATTAATGGACAACAAAAGAATCCGGGCAATGGTGATGGACGCCGCCTTATATAAGTCTATGGGACAACAACATGGTCAGAGTCTGAAGGCTGCCGTTCATAGAAGTTGTAGTGGCTTAATGAATGTTGGAGTCGTTGGTAGACAATATGGAAATTTTAATACTTTTTCATTTCAACCTGAATTTCAATGGCTAAACCTTCCAAAATGTACATTTCTGGTCAACTGCACCCGTGTGAAATTAATTGCCTACCAGACATATTTTATTGCTGTCGGTGATTTAGCAGAAAGTAGCAGCGTGTGTGTATTTGTACAAAATGATTGGCGTGAACTCATGAAACTACCAGGTCACGGATGGATGGGTGTGGCTCTTGAAGATTTTATCTATTTAATTAATTCTTCTAATCAACAAATAAAAGATTTGATCCAAGAAATGTTAACTGTCTACTTGAAGACTTCATTAGTTTCCCCAAACAGAATACAATAGAACATGTATGTTCATTTGATTTTTTCATACTTGCATTCTGCTCAGAGGTAATTGACGAAACAGCAGTACATTGTCTTGACACAAGGTCTCAGACATGGACAAAACTCGACAGCCTGGAAGGATCAGCCAACAATATGCATAGTTTCAGAGAAGAGAAACAATTATATATTCTACAAGCTAATGGCAACCTTTGGGAAATTAACATAGAAGAGATGAATGGCGTACAATTAAAATTGGTTGAGGTTCTTTGGCAGGGCACATCCAAAATGTTTGGCGTCATCTATATTGACGAACGTCTTTGCCTTTGCTTTAGTAAAGAATCAGAGAATGATGTAGCATCGTCGTCAACTTCAAAACTTTTTGCTAAGATCAGCAATGTCTTTAGTCCAACTCAATTTCTTCCGTGGTCTAATATTGTACCCGCAGTCGTAAAGTCACATTCTAGGTAATCATTTGCCTTGAGATATCGTAAAAATTGAATTATTTCACTAAATTTTGTATGTCAAAAAACCAGAGCATGGCTTGAAATAGTTGGATGTAGTTAAACACAGGCGTCGAACAGACAAAACATTGATACAGAAACCTCAGTATTTGCGATTTGGTTGCTTACTCTGAACGCGCTTTCAACTTTACTGACTATACTCTAATCCCCTCTGTGACTTTCTCTTTCTTTTTCTCATCTCTCATCTTCCCACTTTATCGAAACACATTCGAAACGTTTCACTCTCATAACTAGTAAATTCCGCCCGTCTCTATATCTCCCCGTTTCTGATACACATTTTTTGAACCCCTTCCAAAACCTCTAATTTTGTAACTACCTTTCTCTCTCATCTACCCACTTTCTCTGAAAACATACCACCGCGTTCACTGTCTTAACTAGTCCATTCCCCACCCTCTCTCTTTCTCCTTTCCTCTTACTCTGAAAACATACCACTGCGTTCACTGTCTTAACTAGTCCATTCCCCACCCTCTCTCTTTCTCCTTTCCTCTTACTCTGAAAACATACCACTGCGTTCACTGTCTTAACTAGTCCATTCCCCACCCTCTCCCTTTCTCCTTTTCTCTTACTCTGAAAACATACCACAGCGCCCACTGTCTTAATTACTCCACTCACCACCACCCCTCTCTCTCCTCTCCACTTACTCTGAAAACATTTCATAACATCCAGTAATCCCCCTCCCATTCTAAATGCCACAAGTTCACAACCGTTTCAACCCCTCCCAAACATGTCTATTTTAAAGACTGTAATCTTCCCTAATACAATATTATAAAAACAGATCTTGTTAGTAAAGTACAATTTTGTTCTCAAAATGACTTTAGACAGGGTGGCTCTGGTAGTACATATGAAAGTTGAACTTATCAGTGTATGTCATCTATTAGGTCAATATGGAGTGACAGAAAAAAATTATGTTAACACAGTTATGAGTGTTACGAAATATATCAATACATATAAATGTTGAAATTAAATTAACTTGAAACAGTTATAATAATTTGTTAATATTGCAATTGTTAATTTTCTTTAAATTAATTCTCATCATAAATATTAATAAATTAAAATCTGAACATTCACATTTATCAATCTCATTACTGATATTCTTAATTTTATATTCATTACTCATTTTGTTCATCTAATTATACAACTTTTTATTTGGTCATTTAATTTAAGTTTTTTTTTTATTCTTTCTTATTTATTATTTTATTTTAAATCTTAACAAATAATTGTTTTTACATTTCAAAATTAAAAAAAAAAAACAAATTTTATTTATTTTTTTTTTTTTTTTTTTTTTTATTTTGTAATTTAATTTAAGTTTTTTTTTTATTCTTTCTTATTTATTATTTTATTTTAAATCTTAACAAATAATTGTTGTTACATTTCAAAATTAAAAAAAAAAAAACAAATTTTACTTATCTTTTTTTTGTTTCTTAAACAAATTCTTTGTTAATAAATCCCTGGAGCTGAGCTTATTCTGAAAATTATTTCTATTTGTAAATCCGAGCCTAAATATTTTAATTTTTATTCTTTGCAATCATTTATCTCATTATTGACAATATTTTATGAAAGATTATTAGTTTTTAGCATCTTTGTTTGCTATTATAATTTTCAAAATTAATACTTATTCTTCTTCTATATCTTAAGGGCCCACGATCAATTTATTGATCATTTTGGCTCCTATGCATGTAGATGGGATTTGCAATGTTTCTGTTCCTGGTGTTGATGAGGAAATCATACACTAGGGTTTTGAAGGCTTGAGCCAATAGACACAATAGACACAAATGTGTCTAGTGTTGTCGCCTCAACCGTTCCTTTTGAAAGATTGTTCCAGTCCCTGATTGTCTTGGGCAGGAATGAGAAGCTCCTATACTGGCTTCTTGCTGGTATGAGCCTGAATTGCCTGTCATGGCCTCGTCGCTGTCTATGGGGGAGAGGGACGAGTTTTTGTTTAATACTGGAACAGTGGACCAGCCCATTATTTATCTTGTACATCATGGAGAGCCTGGAGTGTCGTCATTTCTCCAATGGTGACCAGCCTAGTGTTTCTAGCATGCTGCCAAAACTAGAGGTATTCCTGTAGCGGTTTAAGACAAAGCTTGCTGCTCGTGGCTGGACCGCCTCCAACCTGTCAATGCTCTTCTGGGTAAATGGGTCCCAGACTGAAGATGCATAATCTAAAATCAATTTCTCAATAAATGTGTAAATCACATTCTGAAAATTCAGATATTTTATTTTTATTCTAGAAAACAAAAGGTTTAGTTTTTTAAATTTTATTTTGAATTTTAGTTAATTAAATCTCATCCTCGTAATTTAAATGATAATTATATTTCTTAAATTTTGTTTGTCTAATTAAATGGATTGAATTTTATCAATCCAATTATGTGCTTTAATAAACAAAATTCTTATTTTAAAAAATCATATTTTTTTAAGTTATTGTGCGTTGAGTTATTCTAATCTTGATTATTATTAACATTTTTTTTTTAAATTTGTGTTTGTAATGTAAACATTAACGGGCTCGTCTAAAAAGAAAATAGACCTTGAATTGGAAACTTTTAAACTTTATATTTCTAAAGTGTAAAAATAACTTTACTGTTCGCAAATCTCATGGCTGTACACAGATTTTGTTTATGTTCCTAATTTTATTACAACGAAAAAAATGATTCATTTTGATTTTTTTAATGTAACATTTATGTTACAAATTCTATCCTATCGAAAGCTCGTTATTTTTATTTACTAACACTCTAATTATCGTAAGTACTTATGTTACCACACAATGCACGTCGAGGATAATACATGTCTAGATGTATAACTTAAGTAACTTGCCCGTTTTTTGTATGCCGTGAAGCGTGTGCCGGGATGGGTAATACAAATGTTCACATGTCGTTCCTAATCGTTTGCTTGAAATTTCTTTGTTTCGGATTGTTTTTGGACTTGATGTCAAGTGGAGTAACCAAATATCCTTTACTAGAGAAATGAGTACCGGAGTGTCACAAGTCTACGTTCTATACCCTGTCATCGATACACTATATACCAATGCTATCCAGAGCCCAAGCAACACCTTTCCAATCATTCAGTTTACTGATGATACATAAAAACGTTAGACTAACATCTCAAGTGAAAAGCTTTGACCGTTATTTAGTTACAAGCTTTATCAGTTGGTGCGATGAAAATTTCCTTCAGTTGCACATTTAAAAAACCATTGAAATGGTTTTTTTTTTTTACCGTAGGGGGAATCAATAAATAGCAGAACTTACAATAAACGTCAAAGTATATAACAAGTAGTGACATGTAAGGACCTGAGTGTCAAAATTTATAATAGGCTGACATAGGCGTGATAAAAGTCAATTTCTGTATACAAATTCAAATCAAAGACGTTTCTATCTTTAAAATTTTACAAGTTCTGCTTAAACAAACAAGTTATTAACTTATTCTAAAGTACAGCAATTGGAAGTCAATCAAACTTCAGTATTACCAGCTGGTGTGGGAATTCATCGTCTGACATCGAACTCAGATGAAATAGACCAATCAAGAAAGATAGTAAGATCACACAAACTAAACTAGAGACCGACCGAGAGTGATTTTCTGATTTTAGCGAAACCAGGCCGAAAGTTAAAAATGACTTTCGACCGAAACCGAAAGCTTAACGAGACTTTCGGTCGAAACCGAAAGATTTAGTTATTATTAAATTTGTTCGCGCAAAGATTCTGCATACTTCGAAAAATAATGGGGGGCAGTAACAATATTT